GTGTGTGTGTGTGTGTGTGTGTGTGTGTGTGTGTGTGTGTGTGTGTGAGAGAGAGAGAGAGAGAGAATGTTAGTTAGTCCTGATGGTGGGCATGGTAGCCCCTGCCATCAGTGTATGAATGGGTGTGAACGGGTGCATAATGACAGTAGTAGTGTGAAAGCGCTTTGAGTGGTCGGAAAGACTAGAAAAGCGCTATACAAGTCCATTTACCATCCATCCAAGTCCATACCCACTACATCATTTCCAATCAGAATCGGTTTATTGCCAAGTACATTTGCACTTACAAGGAATTTGGCATGGTAATAGGTGCATAATAATAAACAGTGCAATAGTATTAGACACAATTTCTAAATAAAAATATGAACATTTACAATAGAATAAACAAACAAACAAATTAAGAGCAAGTTAAAATAAGTTTGTTGTTAAAGTGTCAAGTATATATTGAAAGTGAAGCGTTGTGCAGGGATATGTAAATGTCTGTAATTGTCCTGGGGATGTAAGAGTCAGAGTTGGTGGCGGTTCCAAGCTTTGTTGATGAGCCCAACTGTGGATGGTGAACTATTTGACAGTCACGTCAAATGCACGCACCAAGTTACAAAAATTCACAGGTGTACAACCAAGCTCTGCGACCACTTGCGGAGACTTTACACACGCCTTTACTACGGCGAGTACAAACTAAGCTTTAGACCGTGTCATCGTGATAGTGGCGGAGTCTTACTTCGCCACACAATTGTGTGTGTATTGGGAGTACAGCAGGGTGCTCAGTTCACACACTTGGGGGGCTCCTGTGTTGATGGTGAGGAGTAATGAGGTGTGGCTGCCCACCTGCACCACCTGAGGTCTGCCTGTGAGGAAGTTGAAGATTCAGCTACACGTGGTGGAGTTGACTGCCAGGTCTTCAAGCTTTGTGAAGAGTCTTGAGAGGATTATTGAGTTAAATGCTGAGCTGTAATCCATATTCAGTATTTCAACATAATTCCCACTCCCAATTTCCATGTCGGCTTGGACAGTTCGAATGAGGTGGTATATTTCGTGGATTCGTTGGATGGTATGCAAACTGCTGCAGGTCCAGGGACAGGTGTAGTAAGGAGGCGTAGAAGTCTTTGACAAACCTCTCCAAGCACCGGCTCGTTGTTGTTTAGATTCTGTCCGGTCCTGCTGCCTTCCCGGTGCCGAGACTCTTGAAAGTCCTTCTCACGTCGTGCTCTGAGACAGCTGCTTTTGGCAGGTGAGCAAGTATGATGTCGCTAACATTAGCAAACAGAGCAAATATTAAGTCAACACAGCCTGATGTGGCAGTGGGGGGTAATATTTTGTGTGTGTGTGTGAGATGCAGCTCTGGCTTGTATGGTGGCCCTGTACCTCCAGATAATTGGATAATCACTCTAGTTATCACCCCTGCAGTCAGGCTGAAGTCGCTTCCTGGTGTAGCATGCTGGTAAGTTATCACACTACCAGAGTCTAAGTAGACTGGATTTTCTGTCGTGTCTATGTTGCATCAGGTAATTTTAAGGTACCATAGCGCATGAAATAGCATCAATATTGAGTTTGTTAACTAAAAATACCCCATGTGAGGATCTCCCCGGACCCTCCCTCAAAGGTCTAAGCCCCAATGTTTGTATCATATTTACTTGTAGCACTCTGTTGGTCTCGCTGCTAACCGGTGTTGCCAACTTGGCGACTTTCTCACTAGATTTAGCAACTTTTCAGACCGTTTTAGCAACTTTATTACTAATGAGAGACTAGCAACCAATTTAGCTCATTCGGACCATCAAGGAACTTTCCTCCCCTCTCTTCCTGCTGTTCTCCCCAATTCCCCCCCCCATTTCCCTCACACATGATCAAATTTAATAATCCATCCCCTATATTTATCAGATTTAACCTAATGTCTTTGTTATTTTTTGACTTAAGTACTTATTCCAAATATTTGTCAGTTAAGTCTAGACAGCTAGCGAGCACAACGGGCAGACACACACACACACACACACACACACACACACACTGACAAACACAAGCTGACGCTTTTTTCCCACACTGCAATAATATTAAAAGTGTTGCTTAATGGCGCTTGCAGTGTTGGATCCAAGGAGCTACTTTATGTAAAACCAGGGTCTGGTATTTAAACAAATACAGTTTGAAAAATCATTAGTCCTCATAATTGTCTGGCTTCAAAAGCATGCTGACAAACTAAAGTGAAGAGAAGCATTGTCCAGGGTTCTCCCGTCCCTTCCTTCCCTAATTGCAGGATACTCCCAGTAAACCAAATAACTCACATTTTAGTTCCATACTTTAAACTGTAACTCTATAAAACATTCATTGGAAGATGTGTTTTTTTCAAATTCATGTAATTTTCAATTGAGAAATACATACATTTACATCAATGCCAAATGCATGTCAAGTTTTAATTACACTGGCATCAAGTATATACTATGGGCAGGTAAACAGCGTAATATATTTCCTCTAATTTTTTCAAATGTACTGAAGATTTACCGGTAATAACTCCAAAGATATCTCCCTCGAATCTTATGATCAAAGCATTACAGCCTCTGGAAAGAAATGGACTGCAATCTCTTTGCTGATGATTGACTTCAGATGTCAAGACAGTCAGTTTTCTACGAACACAGTTGAACATCTGTTATACATTTGTTTCAGAAATTGCTATAGTTTAGCCAGAACACGAAGAATACTGATATACTGTATAAGCATACATGTCATCAACTGTGAAGCATACATGTCATCAACTGTTCAGATCAGTATATTCTGACAGTATTGTTACTCAGGAATGCTTTGTGGTGTATAATACAGTGCAGGACTGTCAGGAGAGTTGAGCTGTTGTGTCTTTTTTCCCTCAAAAATGCACATACATTTAGATACAGGGTGTTTTTAATTTAGGGTGTAGCCAATCTGATTTTATTTTGTTTTGCAACTTGCCAAATGCAATGCCTTGTGCATAGTCATGGTTCGGTACTTTGAATTCCTTGAATCCTTGAAGAAAAGGTTTCTCGCATGCCTCTACAGTAAACAAAGAATCCAAAAACGGAGTAAAGTCTTGATGAATTGAAGTGATGGGGGCCGTGTTTAACAACAGCAAAACCATATCAAAAAATCTGTTTCCAAACTCTCATATTATAGTGCTCATATAGTGCTTACTTCAGCACTATCATCCAAGGCTCAAGTATCCAGTCATATGCTTCCCAAAACACATGCATTTTCACTAAACATAGATCTTTAAATCTGGGTTGAGTGAATACAAAAACTGGGATCGCTATTGAAGGTAAGTTGGCCATCAGAAATGGCGGATTTGTGCAGGATGGCCTGTGTTGCGTTAGCATCAATTCTCTCTGACCGATCCGAGGTCTGCAGGGTTTAGACTCTAACTTCTAGTAAAGTACGTAAGTTCCTTATTTTAGGTTCAAAGTTAAAAATGTGGCATATTGGGCAAATCCAATGCAACATAGTGTGTAGAAATGTGCTCATAATGCACACTGAACAGCTGTTTCGGTATAATGATAACATTTTAATTTTTAGGACTGACACACAAACTCTGCACTGTTTCAGTCTGACTTCAATGAACATATTTACATGCACTTTACCCTGAATACTTTCTTGTCAGGGCAAAAAATGCCACACATATATTATAGGTGCTAAGGTAAATGTATGCAGGGGAAGAAAGAGTAAAGAGTTATAGGGTGTGTTCATGGATAGACTGGGTAACTGGCTCAGCTGTCTGATTTTGGAATATGCCAAACAAGGCAGTCCTCAACCCCTCACCTAGAACTGCCTCATTGGTGTTGATATACTGCAGAGGTGCCAAAGAGGTCATAACTCTTGTCAGCATATTTTCACTGCAGCTGATCCCATGGAAGATATTTTGTGTAATGAAGTGATAAAAGACATACAACTTTAACAGTGTGGCACAGTATATATTTTCTCCATCAGACATCAAATGTTTACACTGCTGAACCACATATATGGGAAATGATATATTTTGTGAAGGACTGTTGTGCAATTGTGGTAACCTATGCTTTAAACCCCACTATAATTGGATTACGGGTTTCTCTACATTTAAAAAAAATGTGGTCTTTCTACTTTCAGCATCTCCTTTGCAATGTAGAGTGACATGCAGCTTGGTGAACATTAAGTGTACTCACTGTCTGATCTGACATATTATAGATGCAAGTTTACTGCTGTGTGTGTATTTCAGTGAAAGACTGAATGAATGAGAACAGCTGAACTTCCTTCCAAAGCTTCAGGTGTATGATGCAGTTCTTGAGTTGGAGGTGGAATTGTTTCGTGTTACTATTTTTGTGAGAATGTGGTTGATTTAAGACCCAACTCTGTTTAAGGAGAGAGTAGCTTAATTTCAACTCCTGTGACTCAAAGGACACAAGTCAAAGAACTCAGTTCCACAACATCAGTGTGTCAATCTCTTGCTGTTTGATCACCCACCCCGTGTGCCACATGTGGTCATATCCCAGGGGCCAAAGACTTAGGCTACCTCCACACTACTACGTTTCTGTTTTGAAACGCATAACTTGTGCTACGTTTATGCCTAGCTCACAGGCTGCACACTGTTAGATGTCATGGGTGGGAGGATTTGAGTTTCAGGATGTAAAAAGGTGCATTTGTACCTGAATAGATGGTGAGAATGCTGTGGACAGGAGGTTAGTTTATCCTTCAGCCCGTGTTTCTGTTCAGCAATGATTTCCTTTATACAGTATCAATAAACTGAGTAAAAATGGAAACTGCGTAACCCACTTACACTGCCATAATGCAATCAGCTGGCTAGACTTGGAGAACAACTACATAGTCTGGTCTTATATTTTCATAATAAGAAGTGGTGTTTCCTTTTTCAAAGAAACAAGCACTAACTGTTTCTATAAGTTGGCACTAATTTGCTTAAGTTACAAATAATTCAATTATCTGGTCACAGTTGAAATTGATAATCCTCTGTCTTGCTAAATGATTAACTTTCTTCACCAGTCACATTGTTGTACAGAGAACTAGTAACTTTTTCCACACTATAATAATATTGAAAGTGTTGCTTAATGGCTCAAGCAGCTACTGTAAGTAAAACCTGGGATTGGTACGTCAATATATAAAACTTTGACCAATTATTTTCTGGGCGGTCTGGCTAAAAACATGGGGACATAGATACAGTAGCTGTGTTGATATAGATGGATATGAATCAACGACAAGCAAGCCTGAAAAAAACAACACTGGAAAGATTAAATAACTCTCTAAATTTATCTTTAACAAATCATTGTATCCAAAGAAAGGCATCCGTCCTAATTATCAGAAACATTAGCTGCTGGCTTTTCCTCTATAATGTTGAGCTTTTTAGGTTTTTTTGTACGCCACATTGCTATGTTCGCTTTTAATGTCCAAAAACCTGCAGCAAAGGGCGATATGAAAACTTTCTTCACCCCTGACAATCATGTGATTATGTACTCCTCATAATTGTCCTTAAAGCATGCTGATAAACTAAAGTGAAGAGAAGCATTGACCAGGGTTCTCCCATCCCTTCCTTCCCTAATTACAGGATACTCCCAGTCAACCAAATAACTCACATTTTAGTGCTATACTTAAAACTGTAACTTTATTAAACATTCATTGTAAGATGTGTTTTTTTTTAAATACGTGTAAATACGGCTAAATATGTCCCCAGAGCAACATTGGACATAACAATAGTTCCTATCACATATAAAACCAAACAAAAATCCATCTTCATAAAAACAAGTTGTACAAATAATAACATATAAACAAGCATATTAAAGCTACTGTAGATGTAAAAAAGCAGTTAACTTACCAAAGCTGCTGTTCACTATTTAATAAAGACAAAGTGCATCCTCCTTTCTTTGTTAATAAAGAGTTTAATCTCACGGTTATTCAGTACATCCGTGCATTTTAGTTCCAGTAAGAAGTCCTTCTCGATTCATGGACGCCAGTGAAGACAGTCGAGCCTCCCCAGTTGTATTTCTTGAATATGTCTTAATGTGTTTGAGGCTGAAAATGTCCTCTCAACAGAGGCAGTAGATATTGGGATTGTCACCGCCTAACATGTTAGAAAATCGAAACAATAAACTCTGGCTGAAGAATGGTCTTCTGTAGAGACAATGACGAAAGATGGGTTGCAGAAGACAACTGACATCTCTTAATGGCACACATGTCATCAATGTGTGAAGTGTTAGGGTCAGTGTATCCTGGCAGTCTTGTTACACAAAGAGAGTCAATGATTTATCGCTTTTTTTACAAGAGTGAAGCCGTACAAAAATGACTCAAATCCAAATGAACCGATTAAATTATTTCATGTAGGACTTCAGAATGTGTCTATCTACTTGAATATCTATTCATTCACCTTGTTTGATCTGTCTGTCTGTCAATAGTCCCTTTCAGACAGCCTGTTCTGTCTGAAAGGTATGGAGCCGAAATTGAGGGCCTGAGTTATTCCGGCATGGCGGAACGGCAAAATCTCTGTTTGAAAAGAGCCTATATGTCCGTCTGTCTGTCTTATTGTCCATCCGTCTACGTGCTAAAAGGGCCAAAATATTGAAACATCTACACAAACTGTAATCAGATTTCTTCTTTTACAAGAAACCCATCTCACAGAGGGCCCGATGGATTGGCCAGACCTATCATTACACTTATAATTCCAAAACACTAGATGCTTTTATCCTGCTAAGCAAAAACACATCACACTCACTAATCAACTGTAACTAATCCAGATGGGAGTTTCATTACCATCAACAGCAGCATTGAAAAAGACAGTATAACAGTACCTATGTCATTCTAATAAAGACATTTCTCCATTTTCTTTCACACTTTTAAGAATTAGCCAAATTCCCATATTAAAAGGTACTTTGAATTAAACCCAGATATGAATCGCTCCTCCATTTCAACCTCCCATAAGCCTCTCTACTCCTCATCTACAACTAAACAATATATGTCAGAATGTGGACTGAAAGAAAACTGGAGACTATACAACCCAGACAATAGAGACATTTCTTCCTACTCATACCACAAAACATCCCCCCGCGTTGACATCAATACTCTTATGCATAGAGCCATAGAATCCATCATCCCCTGTTTCATTATTTCTGACCATATCCCTATCACCCTTACTAACAGGAATTGACCCACATCACCGTACCCAGATGGCACTTCAATAACTCACCTGGATTTCATACAGTATTTCGAAAAGGAATGGGTATCCTTCCTAGAAACCAACAGCACCGCTGACATAAGCAAAAGCACTCTGAGAAGCAAAAGTAGTTCTAAAAGGTATAATAATAACATATTCCACAAACAAACACAAAAGAAGAAAGAGCAAGAGAACATTTTCTACAGCAGGGTGGAAAGAGGCTCGATACACTAGCCTCTCAAAGGCCCACAGACATGCTTCACAAAGAATTACTCAAAACCATAACTTTCTATTCAATTCTAAATTGGTGTGTCAGTAGCCTAGTCTACCAAATTGAAGTAATGCAATATGTTACTCTTTGTCTTTGTTAGATTGACACAAAAATGACAGTTCAAAATAATCACTTGGTTGATTGATTTGCTGGTTGAGTCAATAACAATGGCAGCTTGACACACTGTGTATCCTTTACTTGGACATTTTGATAGAAGCTAAAAGACAGTGGATATGAATGTCTTCACTGGAAACATGAGAGCATTTGTCATTTTTATCAAAACAAACAACCTCCTGTTAATAATGTCTCGAAAAATAAAGGCAATGGCTGTTTGTTAAGAAAACATAAATATGTTTGTTAAGAACATAAAAATGTTTATGTTCAATAGCAAAGGCAGAAGTAGTGTTAGGTTATTTGAACCTTAGAGAAGAGGACAGAGTGTTGCAGAGGGTTTAGGGAATTAGTCAGATCATAATTCTGTTTATGAAAGAACAGGGGAATAATGAGGCAGGCAACAGGTAGTGTGCTTCCTTCCCTCGTTTCTGGCAGACTTTATACTTTTGACTGTATTTTTTACCAACACTTGATCGGGACATCTCATCTTCTGTGTTTTCTGGTTTCTGTAGGCCTGTTTCTGCTATCACCTGTTCTGATGGCCCTGACACCAGCCAGCATGTGCACACCCTTGAGGACGCTCAACAACAGCCTCAGCCACAGGCGACGGTACATGGTGAGAGAACAATGGCATGGTTGCAAGTATGTCTCAATCGTTTTGGAAGCAAGCAAGCAAATTTCACCCTTAAATAAACACATTCTAAATATCGCCATCTGGGTATGAAGCTTGTGTATTCTAGGGTCATTTTTAGAAGCTTTGTCCACTTCTACTGAAGTTGGGGATTTCCCATCTTTCCCAAAATGACTTTCGACGGACTCCAGCCAACAATAATAAGAAAAGAAATAAACAGCAAGAAATTCTCCACAAAATAAAAATTGAAACCTTGTTTTCTGTACCAATGAAACTTAAAGGGGCACTCCCATCAATTCAGTAAAATTCCGTAAATTCCTGACTTTTAGTTCAGGAATTTAGGACAGGCACCATAAACACTTATTCCTACAGTTCGCATAATGCAACTCCCACGTCTGTAGTTTGTAGTCCACAAGCCCAAGTTGATGACCCGAATGACATCACTATGATATCAGTTGCTCCACCAGAGTGGCAGAAGACAGTATAGAAACGTTTTCACAGCCTGAGTAGTACAAAAAAACTGACCTTGTTGTGGAAAACTGGTAGAGTGGTGCTTTAAATTGTCATTTCAGGTTGATAATTGTCCTAAACAATTAAACCGGGGCACACAATGGATCTGTACTTTCCCTTTATACATCATGCACAATATCTTGGATGCTGTTTATTAAACTGACTTGTATGTGAAGCATGTGAGAGAAGAAGCATTTTATTTATTTTTTGCCAGTAATGTGAAATGCATTATAGTATGTTGGTGTCATATTAATTCATGTGGAACCCATTAGTGATTGGCCCAGATGGGTCATTATTGTGATTAATCGAAAAACGATGTTGAATACACTTATTGTAAGCCGCTTTGGATAAAAGCGTCTGCTAAATGACCGTAATGTAATGTCATGTAATGTAATGACTTGGTTATTAATAGAACATGGCACATGTTTGGCTTATTACTCTGATTCAACGGTTTTTATTTGTGTGTGATTTTGTGAGAAGTTGTTTAAATATACTACTTTTGATAGTAAATGTCATAGTCAATTATCAAAGACAAACGAGGTTTAAAGCTATCTGAGTTATGAAATGTATATAATTGTCTCTCTCTCTCTTTTTGCATTACAGAAGCACAACTTCCCCATCAACTACACTATTAGGGTTCATCATAAGGAAATCTTTAAACTGTCAGACATCAATAGAATGGTAAATATATGATAATATATATATATATATATATATATATATATATATATATACACACACAGTAATATATAATATGGCATAACCATAATTTACTTGTTGTGTCTTCCCTTTCTATGTATACACAGTTTTTGCTAAATGCTGATAAACAAAATCTAAATAAATTGTAAAAATTTGTTCTTTAACATTCTTCTTTTTGTCGCAGATTCACATAATCTGATAAACCTATTGATAACATTTCTCTCCTCTGCTCAACACATCAGAGGTTACATGTGAAGGGGTTGGATGAGCTGGTTCTCCAGAGGTTGTGGTTCCAGGTCAACCAAGGCGTGTTAAAAAAGGTAGGAATATTGTAAAAACTATTTGGTCCAAAAACACAGATTTTTGTCCCATTTGTAAACAGTTTATGTAATTTATTAAAATCAGTGCTCTTTTCCTTCTCTCCAAACAGCCTGAACAACCCTGAGCTGTCAAAAATGATTTTACACTGCAGTTTATATTGAGTGTGGTCATTAATTATTTTAAAACAAAAAATATGTGTTGTCAATGGCAGATGTTTCTTCAATTGTGTCTGCTATAAAAAAGTTTATTTAAATTGGTTGACGGTCATAAAATGCCAACAGCTGAAGCATGACCATAATGCTTCACTGCACGGCACAAATGACACACTGTTCGGATAAAAAAAGGTCCACAGTTGTTCAGTCACGACTCATTTTTGACATGTGTCCTTGTACTTTTTCCACACTGAGATACAATGCGGTTTTGAGTTGAATCATAAGACTAAACCTTCGTCAATCAGTCAATAAAGATCAGAATTTTAAAATCACATGTCAGTAATCGACTGATTAAGGGAACAGGCACATGCTATCCAGGGCCAGGAGTTTCAAGTACTGCTTCAGCACCCACACATTTTGCCTTCAGGTACAATAGTATGTGCCGCTCACCTGAGCTGCTGACAAAGTCAGACAGGTTGAATTAGTGGGATGAGGTCCTTCTGCTCTCTCCACTCTGTTGTTGGTGTCTCCAAAACCTCAGGGCCATGGGGCTTGAACCTATGTAATCCTTAGAATTAAGTGGGAACTGACTGCAAATAAGCACCAAAGGAGTTGGTTTAGCTGTGTTTGGTGTTGGTCTCTCTCGCCTACTCTTGTTCTGTTGGGTTCTCTCTCTCTCTGCTGCTTTGTCCCAACTTGCAGCCATGAACACTGACAGTAAGTGTGCTTTCATATGTAAGTGAGTACCACTTACAAAAATGGCAACAGCCTTAAGCCACACTTCAAGCACACTTAACCTAATACTGAGTGGTAATCAAAGCTAAGTAAGTCACTCAATCCATCACAGTCTACTGCGTCACACCAGTATAGCGGTTGAAGGCAATGGAGGTGGTTTGCTGAACATTAATCAACAAAAAAGTGGATTTCATCAGATTCATCTCATGTTGTCAGTACAATGATACTAATTGTGGGCGACTGTGACTCAGGGTCGTCCTTCAATCAGAGCATTGGTAGTTCGATCCCCGGCTCCACTAGTCCATGTCGATGTGTCCTTGGGCAAGACACTGAACCCCAAAAATTGCTCCTGTAGCTGTGCCTACGGTGTGTGAATGTAGTATGAATGATAGATAGTCCTGGTGGGCAGGTGGCACCTTGCATGGCGGCCCCTGTCATCAGTGTATGAATGGGTGTGAATGATGACATGTAGTGTTGTAGCGCTTTGAGTGCTCGGAAGACGAGAAAAGCACTGTACAATTCCATTTAATTTTAGGTAATTTTTTGTTTCTCACTTATTTGTTCTGTATCTTAAAATTTTGATCATATTTTAGATGAATTTGGATTAAAATTCTGATCTTGAGTAAAGAGCCACCCATTTGCATGAGTGACATGACCTCAGTTAATTACTAGGTTGTCCTTTTAGGAGACTTGACAACTGTGCTTACATTTTGCCTGCTGGGCAACCTGAAAGCGTGGCGCTGCTTGCTGCAGATTTGACGTTAGGATCTTCCTCTTTGTCCTTCATGAGGACATGGCTGTTTCCCTCCCTGTGGGGAAAAACAGCTCCTACGAGGCAGGTGGGGGTGGTATCGGGTCCGGGTAGTAGACCTCTTCTGGCTTTGGCCATCAGTTTAG